CCGCTTGGCCCCGATGTGGGTCGCCGCCACCACGTCGGCCACGGTCGGGTGCCGGGCGGGTGCGGGGGCGGGGCCCGAGTCGGGCGAGACGGGCGCGGCGGCGGGCGGGGGCGCGGCGGCGGCGGAGGCCTCCATGGCCGACGCGGGAGGAGGCGGCGGGAGGAGCCGGGGAGGCGGGGATGAAATTTTCCTCCCGCGCGAGAGGAAAGAGGAGTGCGGGTTGGGGGAAGTTTTTCCTCCCAACTCTCATTTCTACAGGTTGGGAAACAGTTTGAGGGTTGGACTTTTAAATTTTTTTACGGGTTTGAGGATTTAGAGGTTCTAGTCTATGGTTTTTTTCGACGAAAACTGTAAAAAACAGTTATTTTTAGGGGTTTGAGGGTTTGAGGGCTCTACTAGCTGTATGTGTGTGAGAGAAAAGGAACGAAGGAAGACGTTCTGTTGGAACATACGGGCACGAAGCTACAGGGTGATTGCGGAGAAGGAAGAGATCTTTGTCCGGAGGCGCCGCCAGACCTCATCCTTGCCTTAGTTTTAGACGCCGGCGCCGTAGAGCCCGTTCCCCCTCACGCGGCCAGCGACCATGTCGAGTGGCCTGAACATGTCCCTAGATGACCTCATCAAGCAATCCAAGTCCAGGCCCAAAGCCAACCCCGCCTTCTCTTCCGGGCCCACCCGCCGGGCGGCGCCGTCCGCCCGGACCATGCCCTACCCGCCGTCTGCTCCCAAGGTACGCCATCGCGTTCGCACTCCCTACCGGGCTTCAGTCCCTTCTTCCCTGCGCAAGAAACCTAATTCCAACAGCTGATGCCCGCCCATCCAGGCCGCCACCGCCGACTCTCTGTACGGTGTCTACTCCGAGCACGTTGCCGCCATGGCAACCTCCCCGCCACCGCCGGCGGTGGCCGGGCCACAGGCACTCGAGACGGGCACGAAGCTGCACATCTCCAACCTCGACTCCAGCGTCACCGTCGAGGACGTCCAGGTGCTCGCTGTTCTTCTGTTGCTATTGCTCTTAAGATTCATGCCAATACCTTATTCTTGTTGGTTGACTGTAATGTCTTGGCTATATTTTTATTCTGGGGGAAAGCCATCATGGCAGTATATTCATTAGTCAAAAATAGTTGCCTCCAACAGGAGGATCGTGTTGCCACAAGCTAACAAGATATCCAACTGCATGATTAGCTAGTATATGCGTTGCCCTATTGGCTTCTGTTGGACAATTATCAAACTTAACTCTAGCTGCTGTTTGGCCTATTGAATTGCCGTCTGATCGCATGGTCTCCACAACCTCCAGGCAGTCGGACTGAACAACAATACGATTACATCCCATATCTCCTGCCAATAGCAAACCGTCCTGGAGAGCATGAGCCCTCAGCCATAGGTGCAGCTTCTTGCTGCAATATCACTGTATAAGGTAACATGACCGTTGAGCACCACAAAGTCTTCTGGCAGCTCCTCCCTGCTGTGCCGAGTGATGCCACTCAGTTTCTTCCTTGATCTAGCATAGTTGAGGCACAGGGCCAGAATAGCTTGCGCGGACCGTGCGGGCACCTGTACTGATTCAATCATGGGCCACTTGCCTTCTCTCCCACCATACGTACCAAGTTGTGATAGCTAGTAGCTTGCCCGTCTGATCTTCCGAATAAGCAAGGGCCGAGTCTGCCCTTTCATTTATCAAACTGTGAAAAACAAATATCTAATTCCTTTAATTGAAGATCTCCTGGAGCTATTTTCCAAAATTGATCCTAGGAGTGGGTATCACCAAATAAGGATGAAATATGAGTATATTTCAAAACTATATTTTCAACTTACATGGGCCATTATGAATATATAGTAATGTCTTTTGGCCTTACTAATGCACCAGCAACCTTTCAATCCTTGATCAATTTTTTGCTGGCATCTTATCTTAGGAAATTTCTAGTGGTTTCCTTTGATGATATACACATCTACAGCTCCTCAACGGCTGAGCACTTAAAACATTTAGCTGCTATGTTTTCCATTCTCAGAAGCAAAAAACTATTTGCTAAATTCAGTAAGTGTTCATTTGGACAAACTCAGGTGGAATACCCCTGTCATGTGGTTACTGCTGAAGGGGTGTCAACTGATCTGTTGAAATTCAGGCTATGCAGAACTGGCCTGCTCCCACTAATGTCACTGAGTTGAGGAGCTTTCTAGCGCTGACTGGGTATTAAAGGACATTCATTCAGTCTGATCCTGGGTCATGTGATTGCCGCTGAAGGGGTGCCAACTGATCCAGTTAAAATTCAGGCTGTGCAAAACTGGCCTGCTCGCACTAATGTCACTGAGTTAAGGAGTTTCTGTAGCATCCCTGTCTCGACACTATGCAGATCTAGCATCTTCCACTAGCCTCCGTATAATATCGATCCTAAGGTGCCCACTTCAGTCCTTCACACAACGCACGCGTTGGAAACATGCACGCCGTGTGGCAGGATGGTCGGTGTCACAACACAAATAACGAAATAATCCACAACAACATATACATATACAGCAACTTCGAAGAGTCAAATTTAATGAATGAATACAACAACGACCTTTCGTTCAAGATACAACTCATACAACGGAAGCGAGTAGACCTTAGACATGTAAGAATACTAGTTATCTTAAGAAGGCTTAAACTAAAGCAAAGGCATCCATATCGCTGCCCAGGCCGCTGTATTTGGGATAACCAACTAACGTCGTCCATCATCAAACCTGCTTCCTGAATCGTTGCCGGCTGGATCGGCAGCAATCCAGGTAAAAGAGTATGGGATAACCAGCTAACTCATCCATCATCAAACCTGCTTCCTGAATCGCTGTCGGCTGGATTGGCGGCAATCCATGTAAAAGAGTAAATTAAGCAAGGTGAGTACTCAGCTGTACTCGCAAGACTTACCTGAGACCTACACTATTTATGCATCAGGTATCAAAGGGGGTAAGGTGTTTAGCGGCAGCAAGCACCAGCACCTATATAGACACGCTACACCTTGCGTCTATCAGGTACAAGGAATGGGAGCGTATAAGAACCAACTACGCTAATCGTGGTGCAATGTAACCCCACAGGCTGCACCCATGCTGAGCTTCTATCCTATCGCTACACATCACAGAGCCTTGCATTCCCCTTTGGATCACCCACGAGAAAATCCCCAAGGCACTTATGTTGTAGG